ACAGTCTCGGTCTGAAATCAGTTGGCCATGGGTCCCCAAGGCTTTCCTGCAACGGCCCTTCGTGGAGGGGGCTACTCCTCAGCCCTCCCCGAAATGCTTCGTGTGGCGAATGCCCCTGACACCCTTGTCCTGACAGTAGACCTGCGTTGTCCCCTAGTGTTGGCGAGTTTTGGCTGCACCTGGAGTGATTTCCAGTCTGAGTACATGGTGAAGAGAAGGCCGCCACCTTTCCATTAGCCCCCCATCCGCCACAGTCCTGTGCCTAGGTCCCACTAGCAAAGAGGATTGGATTAAGCTCCTGAATCTGGACGTGTTTCAACCAGATATTCATAAAAGCAGTTCAAGCTCGATACTCTGCACCTTTGCACAAACCTGTCTAGGTTCAGGCATTCAATCCAATCCTCTGCGCTAGTGGGACCTCGGCCCGGGGAGCAGGCTGGGACAGCAACCACAGCGCACGTGGCCGCGGCGAATATGTAATGGAACCAAGAGCCGTTTTCCGCCAGAAAAATGCAAATGGAACCAAGAGCCGTTTTCCGCCAGAAAAATGCACTTTCCGGCCTCCCAAGTCTCGCCACTGTCCTTCGGGACATCTGTTAAAATTGGAACGTTACAGAGAATGAAGATTAGCATGGCCTCTGCACCAGGGGAGGTGTTAAAAAAAAAAAAAAAAAAAAACCGGATAGCAGGCATAAGTCGAGAAATGGTCCGAATTCGGGGTCGTGGAGCCAATATCTGATTCGAGATTTTTGAGGACAGACATTGGTTGGACATTTGACGGGGAGAGCATTTCTTGGACGACAAAAAAAAATAAAAATAAAAAATGGTCCGAATTAAAAAAAAAAGAACAAGAAAAAGTCTCGCCACTGTTTGTGGCGGATGGGGAGTAGTGGAACGAGGCCCTTTACACGAGAATGGCCCGGGAGCACTTGCCCGGCTGGGCCGGGGGAAAAAAGAAGAATTTTGCGCTGAAATATGCCGGACTGCCCCTGAAAGATGTGGGTAGAGCGGAATGCCTTTTGGTCTGAAATCTTTGTGTTATGCCCCTGTCAGGTGGGTGTGCAAATTTTCAATCTGGACCTCGCCGTTTGGGCCTTGGCCGTTTGCAAATCACAACTAGGAAATGATTTTGGAAAATTGGACGGTACCCGGTCCGGGTATACCGCAAAGATGGGGGGTTCAACCGACTCGAGGGGTACTTCACAATTTTGTTTTTTTGTCAGAGGGGCATTCGGCTCTATTGACATCTCTCAGGGGTATTTTTCTTTGTAAGATGTGCTTTCCTCTTGATATGGTGTGTTTGGCCCTTTTTTTGTGCTTTCCCTCTCGATATGGGGCGATGCTACAGTACTCACCGGATGTGCAAAATGAGAATGAATCTTCCTCTAAACATGGGAAGATACATGGGAAGATACACGGCCCTTTTTGTGTCTTTTGAGCATGTTGTGAGTAATGGGCCCAGGCCCTTGGTCTGTTTTCTTTTCTTTTTTTTTTCTTTTTCTTTTTTTTTTTACGTCCCCTGGTGATGCTAGAGGTGCTGGTGTAATCAGCCACCTATAGCACCCCCAGGCAGGTCCATCTATTGGTGGGGAGCACCTGCTGGAAACCGGGTCCAGCGTCCCATACACTGTTGAGAGAAAACGGGGTCGTGAGGAATCATGAGACAGCATGCTGGAAACCGGGTCCAGCGTCCCTTCACTAACTATCCTGTACTGTCCAAGCCAAGACACAGGGCAGGGGCCCAACAGGGCTACTGGGCACCAGTGGTACCTGTTTGGTCGCCGGCCCACCTTCCTGGTCACTCTACCGCACTTTCCTCTGAGAATGTCTATAGAAGTGTCAAAAGGCGATCTGAAGAAGATCTTCCCCAAACCCGCCGGTGTGCTGAGCAAAACACGACTTCCGTCCTGTCCAGATTTGACAGGTAATTGAATTGGTTGGGCTTAAAGAATTAGCCTTTAAAAAAAAAAAAAGAGACGACTTCAATCATTCTGTTTTATGAAATATGTGAGCTATTAATGGTATAAAAAAAAAGACGACTGTAACTTTTTCTCAAGACAAGAAAAAGAAAACCAGCAAGGAGGATTGAATTAAGCGCCTCAGCTGAATCTCGATGTTGTGTTTATACAGAGATGCAGAAGAGCACATCAATCATAATTTTCTGCATCTCACCAATATCTCGTCCAGATTGTGTTTATACAGAGATGCAGAAGAGCGCACGTCAATCATAATTTTCTGCATCTCTCCAATATCTCGTCCAGATTCAGCCCTTAAATCCAATCCGCCCTTGGAAGAACTTTTCAGTTACTTCTACGGTAACCGTCTTTGTGTTATTTGTGCGCTCAGATTTTTTAATCATTTTTACCTTTTTTTTTCTTTTTTCTTTTTTCCGAAGAAAACAATTTGGACCATTTCTCGATTTATGCGTGTCATCCTTGCGCAGGGGCCATGCTAATCTTTTTTTTTTTTTTTTTTTTTTTTAAGGTTGCAGCTTTATTACTTATCAGTCCAAAATGAGGCCGGGAATCCCTCAACATCTCAACCCGGTGGAACTGGGACCATGCTAATCTTCATTCTCTGTATCGTTCCAATTTTAACGGATGTCCTGAAGGACTTTTCTCTTTTTTTTCAGCTTCCTGATTCACGTGTAAATGTTTTGCCTTTTGTGATGTGCAGATCGCGGGATCCCTCTCGCGGCCAATTTGGTTCTCTCTTGGGATCCTACTAGTCTTTGACTGTGGCACGTTCCGCTGAAGCTCGTCTCTGGATTTGAACTTGGGTCTGCGTTTCAACGGTTTGTGGTACCAACTGGTCCGCGTTGGTCCGTCGCTGAAGTCCATTGGTTAACTGCTGTTCCGCTGGTGCTTTCTCCGGTTCTCTCTGACTGTTGTCTCAAGTTCGTTGTCCTGGAAGAAGCACTCTGCACTCACAAATTCCTTCTGCCAATTATTGTGATGCTAGACACTGCATGGGCAGGCAGGGCGTTAATTTCATGTCCTCCTCTTCCCCTCCTTAGCGCCCTCACGTGAGTGCGCTGTCGAATCAGCAGGGCGTGACACCCATCTCCATGAACGATCCCCACTCTGGCCTTCTGTTCATAGTTACGCCTTGCTTCTTTCGGTACACCGACTGTGATCAGAGGTAAACCGCTCGAGCTGTTCGGTGATGCTAGTATCTATCCTCTGACGTCCTTCCTCATTCTCCATCATTAGAGAGGCCGTCAGTGGCCCCCCATACAGTGGAGGAGGAGATGGCGCTGACAGCATGCAGATCAGGTGGGGTAGGTGGGAGGAGGAAGGCTCAGAGAAACACGGTGAGGCGGTTGCCTTTGGCCACCAATATGATGATGGATTGTGGCGGTAGATCTGTCCACATGCAGTCTTGTCGCCTCCCCTTTCAGTCCGCTCTTCCCTTTCTCATTTCGCTTGTTCACCTCCTCTTCCTCCTCCTTGCTTTTGTGGTGGTCCCGCAGTCTGCCGATGCCGTCAATCTTTACGATAGGTTGTATGCGAGGGGTGGGCGATCTTTCTCGGTGATCGATCCGGATAACATGACAGTGGTTTGGGACAGCGGGGATGCGTTTGAACGAACCATCTCAGTGGAATCTGCGAGTTACTTCAACTCCAGGGGCTTTACCGCTGCCGAGTTTGACTCTCTCTTGGAACGACGGATACTTAACCAAACTGCGGGACCGCTAATAAGACAGGACTGGCTAGAAAGTTTCCGTGCTGGGACTGTAGATTCGCAGAGTACCAAGCTGGGGTGCAGGCCGCGCGCGTTAGTGCTCGGGATGATGAACGGGGGGAAGGATCGTTATCTGTTTGTCGCTCTGACGAATCCGGCGGGAATCATGGTGTATAACTTCAGCAACCCGGTGGCGCCTACCTTCAAGACGTGGACTAAGCTGTTAACTCAGCACTTGGAACCAGAAGCTCTGCATTTCACCGAAGCGGACCAAACAGATGCACCGTACCTGTACGTGACTTGCGGATTCAGTGCGAGTCTGCTTGTATTTCAAGTCAACGCCGATGGCGGTTTGACCACTGTTGCTGCCTACGATGGCACCATGGGGGTCAAACCGGTCCCATTTGGTGCCAGACTGATCAATGGTCTCACGACCTACACTGCCATGGGTTTTGTGCCGGATGAGGATAGCATCTTCGGCGTTCCCATGATTCTCGTGGCCAACCAGTATGCTCGCAGGGTCGAGGTCTTTCTGTTTAACACCACGGCGACGGTCTTGCAGATTCAGCGGCTGGGGGACATCGACTTGTCCACGGGAATTGCGTCGATGAACTCGACCGCAGAAGTCTTCAAGCCCGGGTTCCCAACGGACGTCTACGTGCAGGGCAATGTGTTGGCAGTCACCGTTGTGCCGTTCGATCCATCGATGACCACCACTTTGACGATCGAGCAACAGGCAGCGATGTCGCCTGGCTCCGTCTTGTTTTATCAGCTCAACTACGACGGCACTTTCCCTTTCACGTTCCTTAACTCCACCGACACGGGTTCGTATCCAAAGAAGACGGTGTGCGGCGGATCTCAGTGCTTGGTGGTCAACTACGCCAAGTGGGCCCAGGTCAACAGGCAAGGGGCCCATATTGATCCTCCAGGGGGGGTGACTGTGATCAGGATGCCCAATGATGTCTACAGTCTGACTGGCGCTCTGAAAGAGTTGGGGTCGGCGAACCATAGCTGGTCAAGTTACGTGGTCAATCTGGTCTTCGAGAGGGTTATTCTTGACGAAGAAGTTGAGCTTCCAGGGACCGGGCTCGTGGCTGCTGACCCTCAGCCTATCGACATTGCATTGAACAACGTCTCCACCATCGCCTATGTGTTGCTAAGGAGCAGCAACGCCATAGCCAAGCTCAATTTGACGACGATGGAGTACACGAAGGTCTACTGGCTCGGCGCGAAGAACTACTCGTCGGTAGCAATCGACCCCAGTTCTCAGGATGGAGGGCCCAACTTGCGGACGTTTGACAATCTCTACGGGCTCTACATGCCCAGCAGGATGAAGGTCATCCCTTCTTACCCCCCTTTTGGAAGCAAAGAGTACATTATCACAGTCAACGAAGGGGAGGACGTAATGCAGCCCGGCGGCAATGTCACGGTCAAGGACCTGCAGCTCGATCCGGTCACCTTTCCCAACGCAGCGGAGTTGCAGAGTCCGGCCAACTTGGGAGATCTCAGCGTCGTTGCATGGAAGGGGTTGAAGTCGCAGCTCCATACGGAGCTTTACAGCGGCCTCTCGAGGACGGCGGAAACTCCCTGCGATACTTATTCCTATTTCCAGTTTGAAGTGAACTCCTCTTACGTCTGCATGGACATGCACGTGCAGTTGGCAGCCATGCAAGGCACTCCGGACATTTACGTGAGCAAAGATCCCGCTCATAATCCGGAGATCTACGATCTCACCTGGTCCAATTACGAGTCGACGTCGGACAACGTCGAGAACTTTGTCATCAGCCACTTGGACCCTGAGTTCCAACCTGGAGTTTACTACTTCGGTGTCTACGCTTACTGCGAGCCTGCGCAGAAAGAGGCAGCCATCTACAACATCACTGTCACCCTAGAGGAGCCAGCGAGTAAAGACCCGGCCGACGACTTGGCGAGGTTCCCTGCAGTCAACGTGCAGCCTCGTGTTGACGGCCCGCAGTATTACAGCTTCTGCATGGTCCATCCCTGCGCGCCGATTCAAGTCAATCTCAGCGACTGCCGACCTGGAGCCAACTTTTGTCCGGAGCTGTTGATGTCAACAAGCGTTGTGCACCCCGAGGTTGAAGATTACACGTGGAAGACGATGGCCGGCCGCCGCGGAGTGTCCATCGCTCCGGGCGATGCCTACAACCAGGCCGGCGTGTTTTACGTTGGCGTCATCAGTCGGTGTGTGGATCCCGATCCCGCCAACTGTGCGACTGCTAATCCCGAGTCTGCATTCAATCTCAGCGTGACCTATCCGTCCCATCTACCAGAGGCATGTCCCGACAAGCCATACCCAGTGCTTCTGTCTCCTTCCGATGCCGTAGTCCTGCAGCAGAATCTGCCTGTCAATCAATCAACGACTTGCGGAGAGTACAGCTACTTCTCCATCAGGGTAGATGATCCGTGCGAAGATCTGGTGATCGAGACCACCCCGGCTTGTCCGACTTGCGGTCTGCCTAGAATCTTCGTGACGAAGGACTTTGTGAGCTCTCCGAAGGACGACGATCGCACGTGGTCTAGCGACCAGACGTCTGGCAAGTCCTCGGTCACTGTGTCGGCCTTCGACAGGGACTTCTCCGTTGAGGGAATGTTCTTTGTCGGTGTGCAGGCTGATTGTTCAGCCGCGTCTGGGAACACTCCCCCTCTCACGGCGGTTTCTTACTCTATCGTCGCGCAGCTGTCCTCCGCACATGTGTATAGATGGGAGAATGTTACGCAAATGGACATGATGAACAAGATGATTAGTGACCAGTACGTTGGCGTTCCTCTGGACTATCACTACTATCACTTTTGTGTGCGGAACAGAACTAGCGGCAATGTGGTTGTGACCCTCGATAACTGCGTGTCCACGACCAGCTGCCCGAACACGTACTGGTGGCCGGAAATGCTGGTCTCCAAGGTGAGGTGGAATCCCACTGTGAGCGACCGTGCCTGGAGACTGGCGCAGCTGAACCGTAACAGCATCACTCTCAGAGCTACCGATCCTGATGTCCGCCCAGGGCACTACTTTGTCGGCGTCTATGCTTGGTGCAACAAGGACTGTAATGCATCGCAGGCGCAAGCAGGTCAGGCTTGCGCGCCATGTGAAAACATTCTCCACAGTCCGTACAATCTGACAGTGCAGCAGGGGAACTCTCCTCTGGAAATTGTGCCACCTGTCCCTGTGGACCAATTGGGACCACAGAGCGCGACCGTGTCTGTTTCTTCTCCGCCGGGGAACTCTGCGGGGAGAGTTGGCTTCTCCTCCGGTAGCTGGAAAGATTTGTTGCGCCACGTGGGGATCGCTGCCGTTGTTGCCGTCTTTGTCGCCTTTCGGCCGCTGGAGGTGGCGTGAGCCCGGCAGCAGAGCAGTAGGTGGATTTTTGTTTTTATGTTATGCTAACGCTCAGTCATGCCCATTCATCAATTCTTTCCCCCCCCCCCCGTTTTTTCCCCCTCTTCTGTCCTTTTTTTCATTGTCAATCTGTTGTTTTGTATGTATACGATCATCAGTCATGGGAGGATTTGGTGTTTTTTCGCCCAGGCAAAGGGATGTGCAAAAGCGAGAGGGTGTTCACTATTTGAACACTGCGTAATGCGAGAGAGACACACACACACACACGCACACACACACACACACACACACAGAGAGAGAGAGAGAGAGAGAGAGAGAGAGAGATCTCTTATACACATATAGATGTGTATAAGAGACAGGTATTAAACAGACCCCGCACATCCGAGTGAGAAGGAGGAAAGAAGGGAGAGCGAGCAGGGAAGCAGAAAGAAGATGATAGGGGAAGAGATGAGGGAGAAAGCAAAGTGGTCCTTGTGAGACCGCCTTACT